TTGAATAGGATTATTGAGTGTGAAGTTGATACAAGTGGATGTTTATCTATTAATTAATGCATATTTCTTGGGTAAATTATTTGGTCTGTAATTAATTTCAAAAGTTTCCATACGAATTATCACCCGCATTCGGAACCTTCATTGGGTAAATTGATCTATTATAATGCGGAATATCTTTAGCAAAAAAGAACGTGCATATGTTTCGACTGTGTTTCGATTTCGACTCTTGGCCTTGTTCGTCCGCAACTCCACTAGGGGGCATGTTCATAGCCAGAACCGGGTGGTAGTCTTGTTCCATCATTCCATGTATAACAGCACATAATACTGCGTGTCCTTTTTCAATAAGAGTCTCTTCCTCGTTCCACTCTGAAGAACTAGAAGGAACCCAAATTTCCTCTTCAAAATTCCAGTAGTACTCTTCGTTTTCCACAGACCAGCCTTGACTGTCAGGTAAAACGACGTCTAAAACGTTACTGTTGACGTTATCGATGCATTGCTGAGGCACTTTATAAGCTCGCATTCCTGCAGTATCTTCGACTGAAATAGAACAGAAATCGGTGTCACAGACATCGCCATAAGTGAACCAAATTGACCCTCGGTCAATCACATTTGTGATCATGTGAACGTTAACAGCGGCTGTCCAACCATCGAACCGAAGCCCTTTCAGAAGCGCAAACATAAGATCAAGAACATCTCTCACTTTCTGTATGGGCCCCTGAGTAAACGGGTTACCATCTAGGATAAATGTTTGCGCACCTGGACATTCGCTGAGTAATGGATCCTCGAAAGCGACTTTTTTCTTCCAAGAACTTTTAAGAGCCTTTTTGACCGTTTCCGTCGTTTTTTCATCCGCTTCGCTTAATACAATTCGGTTTTTGCGCATTAAACTGATGAAGAATCCAGGTTTCCTTGGCGCAGTGCTTTCTAAGTTTTTCCAGTACATCATTGCACTACGTTTTCGGTCTAACGGAATAGCCATGTAAATTTGATACTTTTCTTCCTCTAATTTTTGCATCATTTTAGCGAGCATTCCTTTACTTTTAAGCGTGTCTAATGACCTTTTGGTATCCCAAACGTTAGTCCCAACTCGTATTGACGTAAACAGGTTATACTTTGACTCAGTTTCGACTACTTTTTGCTCGTATTCTGTTAAGATATCTTCAAACTTGGCGTTATAATCTTGCACTGTGCCATATGTTCGAATTTTACATCTTCCTAGCAATTCCAATAGCCCAAATTTATGCTCAGTTTTCCTGGTATTGAAGTTTTCCTTGCGGAAAAACCACACAAACATGTCGCGTCCTTGGCCTATGTTTGCCACTGATACGACAGCGTATCCGGCTTTTAAAAGATCTTTCAACATGAGCATTATTGCATTGACAAATGTGAAATGATCCATGAAGTAAGGCTGAAAAGGCATACCATACAACTCAATCCGCCTGACGCCTTCTTGCGTCTGAAAAGCTCTTCGCCTTACCCCTTTGCAGTAATTATATTTCATGGCTGTAATCACACGATCAATTGTGTCTTCATCGGCGTTGGAAACGCTGATAAATTGCTTGTGATGGAATCCTATGCTCATAACAGGTGTTCGAGGACAGTAAGGAAACGAAATACTAGATAGCTGTGAAATATGGAAACTAGACGCGACTGTTAAAGAGGCAACGGTCAAGTTATCTTTGTTAGGGGTAAGAGCCCTGGATCCCGAAAGGTCATTGTCGATTAAAGGCATCGTTGCTTTTGTATCGACATAGTCATACAAAAAATCGCCGCTTTTTTTCTTGCTATCTTTGTTAGTATTTTCTTCTGTAGTTTTTATCTTCGGTTCGCTTTTGTTAGTTTTCTCAGTTTTGGAATCTTTTTTCTTCTCTTCTCCTTTTTCTTGTTTGTCGTCTGGTGGTGAATCCTCTTTTGGTTTTTCATTTAACGGTTCTTTGTTGTTTCCATTTCCGTCTCCAAGTTCTGCGCTTGTTTTAGGTTTTTCTTCACTTTGTCTTAATGTGTGAACTTCTTTGGCAGATTCTACGTCGTCCTTTTTGTCCTCGGCTTTGTCGGCTCGTTTTTTGTCATCTAAGGAACTTCTTGGCCTGTCATCTTCCTCGTCCTTTTTCTTTAGGCTCTTGGTTTGCTCTTTTGTTTCTCCCATCTCAAGCATTGAAGCAAGCTTTAAACTTAGTTACGATTACTTCGTCAACTTTGAAACCGGAGCCACCGTGACTTTTGCTAACCAGAAAAGTCGCATCTAGACGTTACATATTTGAAAGACAATGAAAATCATCGAAATATTTTCAAGTGATCTATGTTTATGTGCACTTCATCTGCAATCAGATTTGATGCACGGCAAATCCGATGCCTTTTCCATGCTATTATATGCCAGTTTTCGTTCGCTGACATTTGAGAATATTGTTTTATTAATGTTCAAGATTAACAATAATCTTCAGTTTGAGCGAATATGTAGAATTTTGGAATACAATGTTTTTCATGCAAATTTAGGTACCACAAAGAAATGTCAAACAGGGTCTAATGATTGTTTATTACATGGAAATTTTGAAGCTTTTTTGATTCGATCTGCTATAAAATGTTTTCTTTCAAGACTAGATTTTTTGATTTCCAGTCGTCCCCGTTTTCTCTTCACCGAGATATGGCGTTTTTGTGTTGAGAGATCAACGTTTATTTTTTGTTCAAATTTCGAGTTATACAGCCGTTTCATGAAACACTAAAGCGAACCGTTGCCTCCCTCGAGCAATTTTCTTCAGACAATTTTCTAGTTATTTAAACAAGTCATTACGCTCGCATCAGCTTAGTGTATTATTCAGAACCTTCTTTTTTGGGGCACCTTTACAGTTTTTTGGGGTACCTTTGCAGCTTTTTGATAGCATGTGCTTTGACATTCGAATCGTAATAAGTTTACACAGGTCGTAGATTCGAATCAGTTACGTAGCCGAGTTTTTGCTATTTCGAAGTCTATTTCTACTTTTCTCACTATTTAAGCTTTTTTCTTTCGAAGCTTATTTCACTTGATAGAGCTGCTTTTTGGTCGTGTTCTCGCAGGTGTTTGCGAAGCTCAGCCTCGCATCTGTGTGAATTAATCAATTGAACTGAAAAAAGCTATTTGTTTCAAACAACAAAACAATCATAAAAACTCGACTTCTGAAATTTTCCAACTCAATGTATCTCAAAATTTTTGAAATGCTTTTTTCATACATAATGTGGCTTTATGCTTTGCAAATTGTTACAAGCAAAGTTAGTGTGGATGATTTAGTTTGTTATATGCCAAATAATACTTGAAAAATTGTGTCTATTTGTATTTGGTGCCACTTTTGCTGAATCGCAATGGCAGTTTATTAGCATATGTAGCTGCTTTTTTCGTGACTAGTGTTTGTCGGTGGTTAAGCGGGCGTGGCTTAATAGTTAGTGCATGAGACTCAAAAAACTTGATTGCATTAGGTAGCAGATCGAATCCTAGACGCAGCCGAATATTTGCTAATTCGAGTCTTAATTCTATTTTTTCTTATTGCATTTTCTAGAGCTGCTTTTTGTCGCGTACTTGCTTGTGTTTTCGAGGCGAAGCTTTGACTCTGTGTTTTAATTTATTTTTGCTATTTGTTGATTGACCAAACCTGATTTTGTATTTTTTCCGTTTTATATTTGGTTAATTTTTTTTGTTCTTCCGCCCAAATAGTTTCGTTTTTTTTCCGTATCAGTTTATTCGCCTATTATTGCATTCGTTTCAATAGAGATTGATTTTCATCCTTTTGCGTTTCCCGAGGCATAAACACTTCTGGTGGTCATTTTTTTACAACAATTTTGTTTTTGGCCCAACTGGCGTCCACCCATGTTTTATTGGTTAAGTTGCTGTTCGATATTTTTCTGAAGGCTTACTTAACGCTGACGGATGTTTCTCGACTGTGCAGTTAGCACAGGATGAACCGGCCACAATATTAATGCAAAACTTAAGATGAAAGAAGAAAAAACTCTTTGTTGCAATAGATGTTTGTGTTTTTTTTTACAAACTGATCAAGCCTACTCTCAATAATCTCACTGATTGTTTTACCTTCATTAGTATGATTTTACTATTTGTATTTTATTATGATTTAACTATTTTTCCAACTTATCTCGAAAATATAAAGGCTCTTATTGGTGGTTTTTTTTTTGCTATTATCACGATCTGCTGTAGCATTGGAAACTTCATAGCACATGCTATCTGCTTAATTGGCGGCTAGTGTTTGTTGTTAGTCAAGCGTGGGCAGTAGGTTTGAATTCAAAGTTTTTACAAATTTTTTTATTCGCGCTTTATTTCTACCTTTTTTCACGTTTTAGAACTGCTTTTTGTCGTTTTCTCGCTCGTGTTTGCAAAGCGCAGCCTCGCTTATGTGGAACACTTTTAAATGGTTTACGATTGTAGAAACGGACGAAGAAATCATTGTAAAAATGAATCATTTTCGCAAATTATCCGCTCTTCAATCAATTGGAGTCTGAACAGTTTTTGATGCTGAGTGTAAATTCATGCCCTTTCTCCGTTGAATCCAAAATATGACTGTAAGAGGTTTTGTATGATATCATACTTTACCTGGTGCGATGTTTCTTCTAGTAACTTAAAATTTTGCAAAATTACCCTATGTCATAGTTCCTTCTCACTCTTTGGAGCGTGGCCAGAACAAATAATTATTCTGTTTATTTCAATCAGTTGATCAATCCAGTTACTTCTGTCGACTCTTTTTGTATTGGTTTATTGGAAGCATTCAAACTTATGAATGCGTTCTTTTTTAAAAACTTTTTCTGACCAAGTTAACATCCTCCCTCTTCCTTCGGCGATTTAGTGCGGAGTACTTTCAACTTAGTTATATTTTTTGGATACTTGAGTTTTCAGGGAATCCAGTATTTTAAGGGAGACAGTATACGCAATTATAATCCAAAACTCAGCTAACAGCTGGATGGAAGATATTTAATTGGTCTATTTGAGGGGATGAAGTCAACTTGATCCAATTTTCTTTATTTAGGTACCCTTGGCCTTTTGGGTGCGAAGACATTGAGTAATATATCGACAGTAGCTATAGTGCCCAGTAATGACTCAGTGCCTCTAGCATACTTCACCATGGAGCTCCTGTGGTGCATGAATGCGATCGGACCCTCAATCCGGCTCACCAGTTCAGACATTGTCAACAAGTTCGGAGAGACCGCTTTCGACATGTAAGACATGCAGTTATATTCAACCATTTTTACAATATGCAACCAATGAAAATGTTGTTTCAATAAATTAATTGAAACTTCAGGCCGACTGAACCAATCGGCGATTGTTCAAATAAGTTTCAATAACTTTTAAAACCAGTTGTGATTGGTTAAATTTGTTGAAGAAACTATTAGGAGATCATTGACCGCACCGATCCTCTATTCGCAGATTAACAGTTCTGACTTCAAATTTGGAAAAGCAAAATTTTAATCAACCTTAAAAGGAACGGTGTCTAATACTTGAGGGTCGGGTCGGTGAATAGTTAAATCGACTTTATCCTGTGTTTTCATTTGAACGGTTATTTATCAAGTGGACAACTTCTGGTGTCTTGAACTGAAACTCGAAGCATAGCTGGCTCTAAATTTATGGCTAGTGATTTTCTGTATATTGGATACCCGAATAAAAGCCAATTGAGATAACATTTGGATGGTTAAAATGAAGGGATGCTCTATCTCTGAATTATACGCTTTGAAAAAAACTACAACTGAGTTTACCTGTATGCGTGGTGTTCGTTGTCAGGGTTAATGACTACAAGTTGTCCAACTTCCTGTCACAGATTGAGGACCATCACCGCCTAGTGGTTTACCAGACAGACAAGACACTCTCCAGCTGGACTCAGAGGTGCATCCGACAGGTAAAATTCAGACTATTTACGAGGGAAAGGACTACTGGGATACTGTGTACCATCACGTACGAAATTGGCCAGCTCTTCAAAGAGAATCTTTTTTGTGTGTTCTTGCTTAAGAGATATATGCATTTTTTTGTCATTTGTCTGGTCTTAAAAATGGTGCGGGCATGTCATGTCCGGCAACGAGCACGGGTCATGTCATGGTGAGCCTCGAACGACCAACCGCTCGACTGAGAGGCGGAAAATTTAGCCAAATCACCATTGTAGCAGTCAAGTCATCTTTTTCAGATCATGGAAAGGGCATGGTTTATGACAGGAATTTATTGGCTGCAATTAGTAAAGTTCTTACAAGTTGTATGGCAGAAAATTGTAGAATGAAAGAATTTGGCGAAATTTCAGTTTAAGCGAAGTTATTGGCATTAATAATTATAGCGGTTTAGCACTTAGCGCTTGAAGTTAGATTGCGAGAAGCTTATGTATAACAATCCTGCCTCTGGATTCCATTCCAACCGAATTATTCAAATTCGGGTCAAAAAGGTCATTCGGGTAAAAAAAAATAGATGAGATCCAGAATTGACAGTAATAACTTCCATCTGCGCTCGAAAGTCTTGTTTTTTTTCGTCAGAAAAGTCTTGTTTTTCTTCAGGCCGACTGCATTATTATTCTGGCAGTGGCCGACCAGGACCCGAAAGTGGGCGAAATCGAGAAACAGGTGGATAGAGTTGGAGTGAGAGCTCAAAAAGAACTAGTACTCCTGTATAGACCTATAGACCCTAATTCCAAATCAGAAGGCACCCATAATCCTCCCAGGAACACTGCTGTATGGCTGAACAACAGAGACTGGGTTACCATGCACCATCACATAAGATGTAAAAACAGAATATTCTCAAGGAAGACGCCCTCAAAATGGGTGGAGTATTATACGCCCGTGCTGAGTCGCCCGCCCGACAAGCACTCGGATTTCAGCCGACTGGCCAGGCATTTGACGGGCACATCAATCGGGTTGATTCTGGGCGGAGGCGGCGCTAGAGGGGCCGCTCACTTGGGTATTCTGAAAGCACTCCAAGAAAATGGTTAGAAAAATTGACTTATATCAAATTTTCCGTCATTTTTGTCTAATTCATTTTTTCCGCAAGTATCATAGAGACCTACCTTAGGTTTTTAAAATTTAGATTACTTATAAACAAGGGAAAGGACCAACATACGAGCTTTTCAGCTCTTCGCGGAGAACCGCTCTTGCGCCCCTGCTTAAAAATAACATGCAGTTTTTTGTCTATTTTTCTGGATTGGGTAATGTAATGGGACTGGAGCACTGAGATGCGGAGACGTAATCACCTCA